AGTGTTATACGTGAAGGGGGAGAATGTATGAGTTGCATGGGTGAGAAATAAAACAACACATTCTGTTGGTAACCCTATTCTGCCTTGTATCAGTTCTTGAGACAATCTACATGGCCAAATTGTCATGTAAGTAGACAAGTGGTCGAATGCAAAAACCCCAAGTGTGGTTATTTGGACAGGGTCATGGTCTCAAATATAGTTTATAGTCATAACAGTACACAGTGTTGCCACAGTTACTTTGAAAAAGTAACTAAGTTACTTAACAAGTTACTTGATTTTAAAAGTAACTAAGTTACTTTACAAGTTACTTGATTTTAAAAGTAACTAAGTTACTTTACAAGTTACTTTTATTAGTTACATTCAGCAGTTGCCGACAACACCCCCGCCACCTCAACATAAAAATGACAACCGGTTTTGCCAACACTCACTTTATTGGAAGTGTATTTTAACAGTAACATCAACAATCTATCTCCTGACATTTAAAGTTGAACTTAAAAACTATTTCCTGAAAAAACACGTTTTTACAAAAAATAAAGACAGTCTTTCTTGACTTCACTTAATATAAATACTTGTTTTTATAAACAATAAAATAAAGACAGTCTTTCCTGTACTTCACTTAACATAAATACTCGTTTTAATAAAAAATAATAGTCTTTCTTCACTTCACTTAACATAAATACTTGTTTTTATAAAAATATAAAATATAGACTATAAAATTTCTTGACCTGACATATTTAACTGTTAACACTGTAATGACAAAACTTACTATTTATAATCTACATTTTTTATAAATGTAACTATAATTTTTTTTAACATGTTTTATCAACATTGAACCGGTTGTTCACAGCATTAGAGCAGCAAGGAGTGGTTTTACAAAACAAGTGTATAACACCACATGTAGGCTTATATCATGTCTACTTTTGTTACTTTTGCCTAATCTTATGTTGTAATCCCATGTTATGAGTGAAACAGTGGAGTGAGGCGAATAAACTAGTGGTTGTACCTCATTAACAGAAGCTTCTCAAACCTTTTGTCAGAAAGTCTATTTCTTCTAGGAGTGAGCACCAAACCTCCCAGACTGAAAAGCCGCTCCACAGGAGCACTTGATGGAGTTGGACTGTTATACTTCAAGAAAATATTCTTTATGTTTGAAAACTGATGCAGAATCTGAAGGTCATAGGCTGACCTCAGGTAGTCCATGACTTCCTCTGGCTCTGCCTCAAAAGTGAAAAAGTCCATCTCACCTTGGCTGGCAGATGTGGTGGGCACACTGGCAGGGCTCTGTGCTGTAGGAGCAGTTGTACAGCGGCACTCTGCTATCAGAAGCTCTTTTACTCGCTCCCTCCTACCTGCATCTCTCAGCCATCTGAGTTTGAATTTTGGACAACTGACAGCTCCGAGAAGGGCATCTTTGTCGTCCAGCACACGGCCAAAACGAGTCTGGATAGCCTGAAAAATATAATATGTATTAATGCATACAAGACCTACTATTTATTATGTCATTGAATTACTTAAAAAACATGCTTAATGTGGGTTCAATATTATGGATTTAATTTTGTTTTAGATTTACATGTTCATGACTAGTGTGATGCAAGAAATTTTAACTAGCTTAAGAAATGGAACATACCTGCACTATGGCATCTGGAAGGCCTGCAGTCATCCTGGAGAGGGCATCTTTCACACCCAGGGTCTTCTGCATCAGAACTTCAAGTGTGGGCAGTCAAAAAATGAATTCCACCTTGTGGATGTTGGTACCAGGAGCTTTCTTTTGCTGACTTCCTCCACTGTTTCTGATCCAAGGGTAGATCTACTTGGTTTGGTCCAAAGAGCTGTGTGTTTTGCTGTGCTGCTCCTATACACAGCCTTGCTCTCTGCATTGGAAGTTAAATATTTATCCACATCATTTGTGGAAATTAGGTTGATGGTGTGTGAAGCACACCTGTGGTGCGGGGGAAGAGAAAGCTGGCATTCACTTTCATCCTCAGCTGAGAGGATTTCTGACATATCTAAAAAAGTGACATCATCATTTGTGGGGGTGGACTCTCCCTCCTCCGTCTCATCATCGGACTCTGTGACAGGCTGATAAACATTAAACGCCTTGGCAAAGTTGGATCCGTTATCAGTCACTGTTGCAACTACTTTGTTGAGTAGTCCATATGAAGAGTGAATGCTTTCGATTTCTGCACCAATAACATCATACGTGTGTCTACCGCGAATTCTCCTACATGCCAATGCAGCCTTGTTGCGCTCTAATGTGGATCTACTGATCCAGTGGAGCGTTACTCCCATATAACTTCTGTTGTTAGCAGTCCAAATATGCGCGGTAGTTGACACAAAGTCGACATCATTCAGCGCGGCCTTCAGATTTCTCTCCATCGATGCATACTCCTCCTCCAAGTAAGAAGAAAAAGCTGTTCTGTGAGGCAGCGCGGCATTGACAGTAGTAGGGATCTTGTTTATTATGGCACGAAACGAAGGCGAATCAACCGTGTTTAATGGCAGCATTTCCTCCACAACAAACTGCCCGACCAACTTCTTCAACTCTCCCCCACGTACTGGTTTTGCACCGAAGTCCAGCTTTTGTTGTTTGGGTGGTGGGGGACCTGCTCTCTGCTTCGCATCACCTGGCGTGACTTGCTCTGTAAGTTTGACTGTGCGGTGCTGCGACTCCAAATGTTTTTTCAAATTCGACGAAGTGTTTCTGTAGGTAGATAACACTTTGTCGCCGCCAGCACAGAGTTTACAACGGACCTTAATGTTGCCATCTTTAGCTGACACAAACTCAACATAGTGACTGTATTTCCAGCTAGAAAAAGCGCATCTCTCTCCTCCCTCCATTGTTGTTTACGTTTGTGTCGCTGCGGGGTACGTACACGTGACGTGAACCTAATGCTGAAAACGTGACTTGTCGCGCACACTCAACGAGATGCAAGAAGAAATGAATATATATTTTTACTGTGACTTGTAAAAATAAAAATAAAAAATAGTAACACACAGTGACTTGGATAAGTAACTTTAATCTGATTACGGGTTTCGAAATAGTAGCGCGTTAGATTACTCGTTACTGAAAAAAGTGGTCAAATTAGAGTAACCGGCATCACTGACAGTACATAACATAATTTTATTTGAAACAATAATCTGTCAACATGATGTTGATGAATCATGTCCAGTCACTGTTTTGGCCAAGGCTTGCTCGTTCTATGCTATCACAGCATTACTCTTCTTTCTTTCTTTTTTTTGACGATCCCACGGTAGCTGCACATATCTCTGACTGCTTAGCAGACATGAAATAGTTGAACATCACCTTCAACTACTAAATCTAGCGAAACAGAGCTTCTCGTCCTTCCAGCCACTCCACCTCTATAACACTTTTTCTACATCGCCAACTCTACATCCAGCTAGGATCATCAGCAATAATTCCATTGAGATTAGCTAGAGATTTTGGGGTAATCTTTAAATACCAGCTGTAATTACAAGTAATGATGTATTGTGATAATGAGCAGTGATGACATGACACAATATCTCTGCACTTTTCTGCATCTATAAATTTGACACATACTACCGGTATATAACACAAAACAAACTGATAAAAAAAAGCTGCATATTCTTACAGATGGGCCTAGCTTTATTTATCAATTTATTATTATAAATTTTAAATAAAATGCTGCTTTTTTTCTTTTTCTACTTTTTATCAGCCAATTGATAATTCTGATTAAAAAAAGTGACAGGACCACAGAAAGGAAACACAAATCACACGTGTGTCAGATTGACAGATAACAAGTGTGCAAAGAGTTTACTTCATACATTCAGTTTAACAGTAAATTTAAATTACATTTAGTGCAAACTGTATCGTTCAACTGAACTGTGCATGTGCATTTCTAAACATTATCCATCCATGCAATAAATGCATGTCCTTGGATGAGCCGGGATCAATCCGTTGACTGTGGATCAACCCACACCTCTCTTCATCAATCTATAGATCGTTCTCAATAGATCGTTCTCAATTCCAGTCCAGGCGTCCCACTGCAATGCACATTTTCATGTCGTTTCTCTTATCTGACACAATTTATTCAGTTCAAGAACTTCTTTCCTACTGAGCTGATTATCTACAGTAAATCGGATGTGGAAGATAGGAGAGACTGCAAAATGAGCAGAACAGTGCGTTTTATAGGAAGTTGCTGCAAAGTTTAGACACCGGGGGGGAAAGAGCTTCTTTTTTTTTTAAAGATCACACACATCAACGTGGTTAGTTTCACAACACTTTACTACACACCAGCTCTTACATCAGCGCATCTGTCATTTATAGTTGTAGACTACTGTTGAAAGGATTTTTTAACATGGTTTGGTTCTGTTTGTGTCTGTGGTGTCTGGTTGGTGAGTTTTAATAATTTCTTTATGACTTTAGTCTTTCTGTAAGAGATTCAGTGTTTGTTTTTCCTCAGTGTCCTTTAACTACATTGAAGCTCAAATACCAGCAGCATTAGTTGTAGTTGGAGACGTTATTCTCATCCATATAACCGATTTTCTTAAGAAAAGTGTTTTCTGTGTATGGAGTTCAAATGAACTTCAGTTCAGTGAATAAGTGTTTAATTCAAAATCACCACGAAGATACAATTATTAATCCCCACACTATTTTCCTTCTTTGGGTGTAGCCATTCTGTTGTTTTATTATACCGTATTATTTATCTCAAATGTAGACTTCAAATTATTTACTTCAGTGAACCATCGTAAAATCTCACTCTGTTTTTCTGTTTGTTTTTCAGGTGTTGAGATGAAGCCGGTGTCAGTGATGGAGGGAGACTCTGTCACTTTACACACTGATAGAGAAATGAGGAATAATGATCTGATTGTGTGGAGGTTTGGACCTGAAAACACTTTAATATTTTATTTATTCAATTTAATATTTAATAATTTTAATTTCAAACGATTTACTTTAGTGAATGTGGTATTTGTTTACCATCATAAAGGTATTTGAAAGTCTTGATCTGTGACAAGCCCTGTTTCTGTTTGTTCTTTAGGTGTATTTGGTGATAAAGATGAGATGAAGTTATTGTCAGTGATGGAGGGAGACTCTGTCAATTTACACAGTGATAGTGAAATGGAGGATGGTGATGATCTGATTCAGTGGAGTTTTGGAAACTATTTAATAGTTCAAATCAATGAAACGGCTGACAACATTACTGTATATGATGATGTCCTTGAAGAGAGATTCAGAGACAGACTGCAGGTGGATCCTGAAACTGGATCTCTGAACATCACAAACACCAGAAGTGAACACACTGGATTTTATCAACTGCAGACCAACCGTGTGAAGAAGGTTTTCATCCTCAGTGTCTATTGTGAGTTTAACCCTCTGGGGTCCTTCATTTCAGAGTCACACTCAGGACCTTCGGGTCCAAATGGGCCGGAAGGGTGGGATTAATATTTATTTAAAAAAAATCATCTTTTTTTTTTTTACTTGTTTTTTATAATATCTTTTCTTTTTTGGTGTTTTGAGATAATTTCAAAAATAAAAATGATTTATAATTAATATTAATGCAATAATTATGCAAATATTATTATAATAATTATAATTTTTTCCCCATTGAATATACTAGAAATTAAAAAAAAATTTTTTTTTTTTTTTTTTTTTTTTTTAAAGCTGTATTTCATTTTAGAGTCAAGCCTAGGCCTCATGAAAGCAATTTTTGAAATGAGATGGATGCCATCTGGTGGACAAACTGAGCATTTTAAAAATTCAAAACCCATATGTAATCTGAATTTATTAGTGTGTATGTGTATAAAAGTGTGTTTGTGTGTGTGTGTGTGTGTGTGTGTGTGGATGTGTCTGTTTTGCACTCTTGATGTTTTATAGATTCACCCCTTCACTGTTGTGTGCTTTTTTTCTGGATCGTGGCTGATTTGTAGTTTGTACGCACAAAATAACTCTGTATTTTCACATTTTTGCCAATTTCCCATTCATTTCCTATGCGGGTCCATTTGGACCCGAAGGTCCTGAGTGTGACTATTTTTTTTACAACCACTTAGACTATTCAAATCCTGTCCCCAATTTTTTGGGGTGTTCGTATGCCAAGTACCAACAAAGTCACCAAATTTCGGACCATTCCGATAAAGCAATGATTTAAAAAAAAAAAAAAAAATTAAATGCTTCGGGTCCATTTGGGCCGAAGGACCCCAGAGGGTTAAGAAGAAGTTGATTTTTACCTCTTTATTTATTACAGCTTTAAAGTGGATCTAAATATGTATCGTTATATAAAATAACATATAAAAGATAACATACTTCCTTAGATCTTTAACATTAAATTGTCTAATTGATTTCCAGGTTTATATTTAACTTCTATATCATCTAACTTCTATTATATTTATCTTCTATGTTTTATAGAAGCTCTACTTTTGATCAGTCTTGGTTTCTCTGAATGTTTCTTTCTCATCTAATTTGATATCTCCGTTCATCCTCATTTATCTTTATTCTCTTGTTGTTGTTTTCCCAGCACCTCTGCCTGTTCCTGTCATCTTCTGTTACTGTCCTTCAACTCCATCATCATCATCATCATCATCATCATCAGTGTCCAGACATGTGCTGCTGTGTTCAGTTTTGAATGTGAGTCAAGCGACTCTCTCCTGGTTCAAAGGAAACAGTTTATTCTCCAGCACCAGTGTGTCTGATTTCAGCATCAGTCTCTCTCTGCCTCTGGAGGTGGAATATCAGGATAAAAACATTTACAGCTGTGTGCTGAACAATTCATTCACTGCCAAGACTCAACATCTCGACATCAGTCAAGTTTGTCACACATGTTCAGGTACGGCAGCGCTGATATTAGTTGATGTCGGCAGTGATATTAGCATATTTATTCACTGAGCTGATCTCTGTTTCATGCTTTTACTCCACAGACTCTGATGCTGTTGAAGCTGTGATCCGATTGGTTGTTACTGCTCTGGTGGGTGTGGCTGCTTCAGCTGCTATTGTTGTGCTGGTTTATGACATCAGATCCAGAAGAGCTGAACAGGATCGGGAACAAATGTCCACATCAGGATCATAAATCATAATGCAATTTCTGGATCTTCATTTTTTTTGGCTTTATATGGCTTCATACAGATGGTTCTCAACCAGGGGTGTGTTTCCTGTACAATGACGTAACTCACTGGCACTGCTTAACTACCATAATACGATGCATCATTAAGGAAATCATCTAGCTAGTCTCAATTGTTTTCCGAAGCCATATTGTCGCAAATTGATCGTATAACCACGTTGGTTAATGATGTCACGCAGGTGGTGGAGTAATAACTACTTTTAATTAATCTGTTTGAGATCGAATTAATGCTTGATGTTTTGCTATAAATTACGGACATGGCATCGGAGAACTATTTCTGCTTTTGCTTTATTTCCAGATTCAATCTAGGCTTATTCTTATGTACTCTTCAAAAACTACGCTTTAAATCTCTTGGCAAACTAAAAGACGTAAGATGACATTTGTATGTATTCTAAATAAAAGATATAGATTGTACTGAATGTCAGCTTGCTTATTTTGCTCAAGTTAAGGATTTATTGAGTCCACATGTCATGCAAACAATCAAAAGCTATGCTTCTAACCACAGGTCAAAAGCTCACACAGCTTTGGTTGCACACATGTCTAGCATTGATGCCCTAACTCGCTACCAGCAGGTAGTAAATAATCTGTCCCAAACTTTTGTTGAGCTCTCTTTGGAGCTCAACATTACAAAAACGAAGGAGCTATGCTTTGGGGGCAGAGACAAGGCAAGACCTCTGTTCCAGACACTTAGCATCCAGGGTCAGCCAGTGGAACAAGTGCAGGTATTCAGGTACTTGGGCACAGAAATAGACACTTCCCTGTCCTTCTCACAAAACACAGATACAATATACAAAAAAGCACAACAACGTCTCCACCTGCTCAGAAAACTCAGAACTTTTCAGATCAGCAAGGATGTGTTAACTTTGGTATCGCACTCCCTCATTGAATCAGTTCTTATTTCTAATATCTCTTCCTGGTATAACCAACTCACCACAAAATAAGACTTTTACATATAGTGAATCACGCTGCCAAAATAACTGGCTCGCCCCATCCCTCCATATCTGAAATATATCCATATCAGGAAAGCCAACCTGATCACAGAGGACCCCTCCCACCCCCTCCATCACTCCTTCCAGCTACTACCATCAGCCAGGCGTTTTAAGGTACCACTGGCGCGCAAAAACATCTACAAGAAATCGTTCATCCCCTCTGCAATTGCTATACTGAACAGCACAAAATGAACACTGTAGTCAGTTACTTTTATATGTCTGTGTGAATTTTATATGTTTGTGTGAATGCCTCTTTGTGACTGAAGCCCTGTCAAAGAAAATTTTCTGTAACCCTTGTGTAACAGACAATAAAGTATTATCTTATCATATCTTATGGCTTATGGCTTGCCTCTGTTCGTCGACAGTTCATCAGCATCCCTCCACCGCCCCATCTCCTCACTTGTAGTCCTAACTATTCTTATCACACTGGGTTCGGACCAAATTCCAGGCTCAGAGCCCTCCCTCCGGACAGCACGTAAGTGTGAACTTGTGAAGTGGCGCTATAACCACAGACTTAAAAAAAGTTAGAAAGCGACGTAGACCAAATTCAAGCTTTGTAAATGTTAAGACTGTGAGCCCGTGCTCAGTTTTTAATGTACATTTAGAAAGGCTATGCATGTCAGTAGGTTAATTGTTCTAATTGTTTTTTAGTATTGTCTTTCTTGTAGCTCAAACAGAAGAGTGTTGGTGCTTGCTATGCCAAGGTCATGGGTTCGATTCCCAGGGATAGCAAGAATGTAAATTAAAGACTAATAAATGTAATTTTAATGCAACACAAGAATATACTCTAATGCTTATCATTCATACTTATCATGCTCATCTGTCATGCAGGAAACTGGAGAATGTTTCAACACTTTAATATCAGCTGTGGAGTGAAAATTAGCCCTCATTAACTAAATAGTCGTTCTACAGGAGCACTTGAAGGCTGAGTGGTGTTGTATTTCAAGAAGAGGGATTTAATGATTGGATAGAGCTTCAATTAATCCAATGTCTTGCATGGATCTTGGGAATAGTTCCGTATTTCATCTTCTGCTTTAGTGCTTGTCATCTCTGTGTTCTCAAAAGAGTAGTTGTCATCCATGTCTCCTGACATCTGTCCATTTTCAGTAGTGGTCAGTTCATCAGAAGGCACAATGTCCATAAGAGCACCCTCTTGGACCATTATCCTTCACATATTCTCCCTCTCATCAGCAGGAAGCAACCACATCTGAAACTGGTATGGTAGATGATGCTGCAATTTTTGCATCATGGAAGCTTTTCAACCAGTGATTACTTCATGCTTTGAAATGATTTCTCAATCCACTGCATCAAAGTTTTTCTGCAAATAGGGGTTTGCTCTCTACTTATTCCCAGTATAAGCTTGCGGAAGGAAGTCAAAAATCACTGGTGGTGGTGGCGGCTCCTCCGCTCTCTTATGGACGGCAGACGCCCCTCCAGAACCCAGCCGGCCGGCAGAGAGTTCGTCCGTATCATCGTATCATTTGCATATGTTTATTCATCCAATTGATACCATGTTTAACGATACAAGAAATTAGGAAAATATGACATACGAATGTGCCGTCACATTACATTACTAAAAATCATTATCATAGTATCAAAATCATAGTAGCCTATCCTTCCCTTGTTTTTGAATAAATTAATAAAATATTATAAAATACATTTCAGATTTTCAGTTTTTCTCAATCTTTTCCACTGGCCAAATAGTAGTAATGAAAATTTAAAGTGCTTTTCCTTCATCTGCCGTCAGTCCCTCAGCTCACCATCGGTGTCGCTAAACTGCTCCGTCTCCAAAATGTTCGTACGCATGGGTCAGAGTTTGCGTGCAGGTGCGTTTTTATAAATCACAACTTATGCGTAGGAAGTGGCGTACGCCTCTTTCAGAGCCTGTTTAATATACACCCTAACCCTAAACCTGTTTTATAAATGAGGCCCCTGGTCCTCTCTCCTCTTATCACTCTCGAGACACTCGAGATCGCATCGTTCTCATATATATATATATATATATATATATATATATACTGTACATCAGCAGTTTATTAGACATAACCTATGTGTTGATATCTTGCAGCACAAATTATGAAAATATGAATGAATAATAAATCCTAGTTCCAATCATTTCTTCGGAGGAAAAGGAGAGAAGGAGACTTTTCAGGGAGAGGCTGGATGAATCTCCTAAAACCACCCCATCCACGAGCAAGCAGTGGCCTCCAAAGATTAAAAGATTGAAAGTGTCAGGTAAGATCTTTAAACTATAAATCAATGTAAAAGAATAAAATCATATCAAATGCAACAAATGTCTAATATATATATATATATATATATATATATATATTTTTTTTTTTTTTTGTCTTTACAGTTCCTCCATGCGCTTCGCTAGCTGTGCTCCCTCCTCCATCAGCTGTGGCTGAGAGGGCAACGCGCATGTCAGGAGAAGCATTCAGTTTGTTTCGTTGTTTCAAAGCTATTATTATTAAACGCCCTTAAACGGGTGCCGAGGGCCACAGCCTGGAGAAGGGGGCAAAAGAAGATATAAAGGCCTTAAAGCAAGGCAAAGCCACCGCCAGGAGAAGGGATCCAAAGGGTTTCCCTGCAGTCTGTGTGGGAAGCCCAAGCGTTTGGAGTTTGGGCACAGCTTCTTCCGTGGCAAAAGCTTTTGTGCCACTTCTGCTGGCAAGACAGCCTCTCAATGGCTGTCTGACCAAAAAAAGGATTGCGGCTGCGGACAATGTAACTGATGTGCCCAGGACAACGGCCTGGAGGAGGAAGAAAAAGGAAGAGGCAATTTCCCTAGGCCTGCCCCATAAAAGGCCAAAAAAGTGCACGCCGATTACTTGCAGTCTGTGCCAGCAACCTAAAACAAAGGAGTTTGGGCACTCGCGTTATGCCGGAAAAGCCTTTTGTAGTTCCTACGAGGGTAAAAGTGTGGAACTTTGGCTGGCAGAGCAACGGGCACTTGCTCCTATTGAGTAAAATGTCTTTAATTTATCTTTTATCCTCTTTGCTTTGTTTTTGTTAACTATTTGTTCTGTTGAAGATTTATTTTAATATTTGTATTTGGTATTTTGTTTGCATTTATCTATTTTTTATCCTTTATTTATCTATTTAATACATCTTTTATTACTTTTGTGAACTTTTTTGTACTCTTTCTGCTGTTAATTTGTTTTGTTTTAATATTTGCATTTTGTTTACATTTATATATTTTATTTTTTATAGTTCTAGTGTGAACTATTTAATAAAATAAAAAAATTAATAAAAAACCAGACTGTGTTTGACTCTGAGATGTATTTAGGGAAACATTAGAATGCTAATGAATAATTTAAATAAATCAAAAGCTTCACAAATAAAATAAATGGGTAAGACAATTAACATGAACACTTAATGGAGGCAAAAAATGTTCTAAAATAAAGAAAAGTCATTTAGTACAGTTAACATGGCCTTTGTGAAGGCAAATTAACATTCTAAAATAAAGAAGTCTTTTATGACTGTTTAATGACCATTATGAGAGCAAATAAGTGTTCTAAAATAAAGAACAAGCATTTAAGACTATTAATATGACCTTTGTGAAGGGAGATAAGTATGAAATAAAGGACTGTTTCATGGTTTTTATGAGGGCAAATAAATGTGCAAAAGTAAAAAAAAAAAAAAAATAATTCAGCCAAATTTACATGACTTTCATGAAGGCAGATAAACCTTAAATAAGGTTTTGATATATTACCATGGCATTTATGAGGCAAAAAAATGTTCTCAAATAGAAGACCAGTCATTAAATATTCTTAAATAAATAATAATTAATGACAATTTATATGACCGTTATGTAGGCAGATAAACCTTTTGAAATAAAGAACAATCATATTGGAATAATTACATGTTTTTTATTAAATGAGAATAAATATTACTTAATAGAAATAAACAAAGGACATTTACAATGTTTACAAATAAATCGTTTTTTTTACAACAAAGGATATTTATAAAGAGAAAAGTTATTTACAACAAAGGATATTTACAAATAAATAGTTATTTACAACGAAGGATATTTACAAATAAATAGTTATTTACAATGAAGGATACTTACAAATGAAGTTATTTACAAAAAAGGATATTTACAAATAAATAGTTATTTACAATGAAGGATATTTGTCTTATTTACAACGAAGGATATTTACAAATAAATAGTTATTTACAATGAAGTATATTTATTTACAAATAAATTATTTACAATGAAGGATTTTCTTCATTTCTCTTCTCCTGCAGCCACTCTTCCACAGTCTTTCCCTCTGCTGTGGCACAGAAGAAGAAGCTGCCCACCCTGGTGTGCCCAAACTCTTTTTTTCTGGGCTGCCCACATCGACTGCATGTGTAATGTTTTCGAACATGTTGCTGTGGAGGGGGCAGCCCTTGCTTCTGGGCTAAAAACCCTTCTGCCTTCCTCTTCCTCCACAAAGTTGTTCTGCTCAAAGGTGGAGCAGAGAGGGATGCTGGCGGTGGAGCAGAGAGTGATGCTGCCAGTGGAGCAGGGAGTGCGGGTGCTGATGCGGGGGGAGGATGGCGCTGCCCTCGTCGTATGGCCTGACCTGACAGGTCAGGGTTTAGGGTAAAGGGGAAAGGTGGAAGCGCTGATCCAGGTGCAGCGGGCACTGGCATCTTCTGCTTGGCTACAGGAAGAAGGGTGTGAGACACCATGCTGATCTGAGGTAAGGGCACACTCAGAGCTAGCACGTCTGCTTCCAGCTTCTTCCTGTAGTTGTTGTACCTGTTTAAAATGGCACAATTAATAGGATGAACAGAATATTAGAATTGTAAAATTCCTTCTGCTGGGTTTAAAAAGAAACTACTTACCAGACAGAAGGCGTCCACTGATTGACCTCAAACAGCTGAATCCTTGCCCGTCCCCTCAGTGCTGGGCAGTTCCCCACCAGCCTCAGTATGACCTGGTAGTCATGTAGAACGGCAGCCCAGCGGTTCAATGAAACGCCCCCACTTCACCTTCCCCGATGGATGAATGGAGCAGAGCTCCAGACATACTGCCTCTACAATTCTACAAATATTGGGCCATTGGGCAGGAACCGACCCCTGCCCCAGCACACACCTGTAAATACAATAGGGAATTATAAAGCTTATAGTCATTTATATTATTAAAGCTCTGTGTGCAAATATTTAACTTACCGCTTCAGGCTCTCCTTTCCATGGCAGGTGGAGGTTTTGGAGTGGGTGGCCTTGAACCTGCCTTGTAAGAGTCTCTCATTGTGTCTCGGCGGATAGGAAACACCTTTTTTTTTATTGTCCGGCAGTCTGTCCCACAGCCGAACAATGTCAGTGGCTTCCCTATCTGAGACACAAGGCTTTTCTCTTAGCTCAACGAGGTACCTGGCCAGCTCCACCACTCTGTCAAAACCTGGTGTCCCGTCTGGTCCTCTGCACACCTAACAAGAAGAAAGAAGAAGTTAGTGGATGGATGAAAAAAAGTCCTCCATATGATGGCATGGCAAGGGATGCCTGCATGCATACATACATCTTTTTGGGGCTCAGGTGGCAGGTCCTGGGAGGACTGAGAGGGAGACGCTGAATCTCGAGACAAGCGTACAGCTTCCTGGGTGGACACTAAGGAAAGAGGGGAGATGGTGTGGTCCTGCTCCTCTGCCTCATCCCCAAATCCCTCATCTTCTGCCTCCCCCAAGTCGTCTGGGATTCTGTCTGGGGCATCTGGGTCCCGCCCAAAGTTCTCCCTGAACTCCCAGGACTGCTGCGAGCACAGGTACTCCACCCCGATGAGCTTGCCTGACAAAATAAAATAAAATAGAAAACAAGGTTTTAAAACAGACACCTGTGCATTACAAAGAAAACAACAAAGCATGGCATTATAGACACATACCCGGGTACTGTCCTGGCTTTGAATAGTCTTGTACAAGACTACAGCCAAGAAGACGCTGACTGAGTTCATTGAGGCTGTGCTGGAGCGAGGCACTGTAGTAGCGCAGGGATGACGGGGCCTCATCCGTGATGGTAGCAGCAGCAGCGCGGTCCTCGTTCCACCACTCCAAACCCTCAAGCAGATAAGCCTGGACATTTTCCAGGTTAGCGCTTGTTCCTGATTAAAAAACAAACAAACATTAACACTAATTTATAATTGTGGAAGGACTCCAGGGAAGTGGAACCCCGAGCGCAGTGGTAGACAGGAAGTATGAGCCCTCCCTTTGTCGTACTTCCTGTCTGGGTGTACAGCTGCACACCAGGGGAGTCCTGGATGCAGGGAAGATGGTGTCTTTGGGTGTCCCAGATGACGTCCATCCTCTCCTGGTCCACCAAGGGGATACCCATGGTTTCCCTGGCGTCCTTGAAGGCCTCCAGCAACTCAACGATCAGCTGCTCTGTCTCCTCCACGCCATGTGTGCAGCGTCGACTGGAGGTGAGCCTGCTGGTCAGGTGGTCATCAGTGAGGCCTCTGATGCCCTGCTGTTGCTCCAGCTTCCGCATTTTTGCCTCCCTCAGCAGAGCTACATCTCCCTCGTCCCAGACAAAAATCCAGGCGGAGAGCTTCGCCATGAACAGACCGTAGAGCGGGTGGCTGTCAGTGTGCAGACCTCCGGCAAAGCGCCGCATGAAGTGCCACACATCAAGACGTACCACCACGTCACTCCAGCCGCTGAACATGGCACCTGCTCTGGAGGTGCCCACAGAAGAGCAGCAGTATCTGTCCACATAAAGGAGTGTAGGGGGAGCGACTCCAGCCGCCTCGTACCTTTTCACCGGGCCTGTGGTCATGGGCAGCAGTCCCTGACCCTCATGTGAGGTGAGCACAGACATGAGGACCTGTCCGTGCTCATTTCCCACATTGGTGACCCAGGCTGCGGTCCCAGCTGCAGCTCCCGCCAGTTTTTTGGCCACCTATTGTTGAAAAACAGAAAATTCAGTACAGATAACCTAAAAAAAATATTTATATATACCTGTACATACACATTTGGGTATATTTAATATTTAATTAATATGTTACCTTTTTTGTGGAGTCCATCTTCAGGATGGACCCAAAGACAGAGGTGACCCTGGCTTTGAGCTCACCATACCGGGACCGGGATACCGGGATATCATCTGCGTGGACAGAGAGGAGCCACTTGGCGGTTGGTACAGGCGGCTTGGGTGGTAGAGGTGAGATGGGCTGTGTGGTGATACCCTGGAACCGGTCACACACAGAGAGGTATTGCAGGGACCTCTCCATCCATTCCTCACTATGCTGTTCACATAGCTTGTGATACAGCATAGAGACGCTGTTGCCGATAGAGCGCTCCCTCATCAACTTTGCCACATGCATTTCACAAGAGAACCTGTTAAAACACACAGACAAAAGCAAAGTTTATTAAAGTTCCTTTAAAGTGTTATTTCTTTATAAATAAAAAATGTGAGATAAAAAGATAAAATCTGTATCTTTACAAAAAGATAAAAAACTGTACAGAGTTTGATATTGTTTTAAGTCTGACATCTATCTAAGGTCAAGCAAGGCTCAATGGGGGGCCGTTAACAAATCTTGAATAGAACCTCAGCCTTCAGGCTAGGTGTCTCAAGGTGTTGGAATGTTATTGTTCTGAGTTTGACACCTTTGAAAGGTCAAGCAAAGATCAATTTGGGTGGGTCGTTCACACATTTTGTATAGAACCTCGACTGGCAGACACAGTGTCTTGTGAAAAACTACAAAAGCAAGATAATGCTTGTTTAGTGTACAAATTACGTGTCATTAATTTTAAAAGTACTAACAAAAATATTATTTTTAAGTCGTTTAAGTTACATTATTACCATTACAGCCTAGTTAAAGGTGTAACATGTTAGTAGTTAATTACACCTGAAATAAGAATAATTTTTTCGTGACTCACCGGTAAGTGAGGATGGCTGGGAACATCCTGCGGTGAGCCGGATCCAGCTGGTCCAGGATGTCATAGGACCACGCGGCCAGCTTCTTGTGGCAGCACCCGCCTCACTGTCTTGTAGAGCAGTGTTTCTCAACCCTGCCCCTGAAGGACCCCCAACACTGTACGTTTTCTTCAGGTGTATTTGATTAGGGAAACAAAGAAAACGTGTAGTGTTGGGGGTCCTTCAGGGGCAGGGTTGAGAAACACTGTTGTAGAGCCCACATGATGTATGTCGCTGACCAGACCGTCTGCAGTCTGGCGAGCTGCAGATCAGCTTGTAGGACCACATCCTGTAGGGCATCCACAAACACAGCGGCCAGGTGAAGAACACGTCCGGCGACGCTGGAGGCAGATGACACTGCAGGCGTGGCTCAGGACGGTACCACCACATCTGCAGGTTATCAGTTAGTGCTGCCCTTCCACCCTGGCGCCGGAAGAGGGAGCGGCCGATCCACTCGTGTTGTTCTTTTGGAAGGGAGTGCTTCCAGGCCTCAGGGAGAACAACCTATACACACACAAAAATATGTTATATATGAATAAAAACAAAATGAGTAAAATATATATATATATATATATATATGTATTATTATTAATTTATAATATATATATATATATATATGCAAACTTCTGGTGTGAAAACTGTACCTCAGAAGCCGCTGACACCAGCCTTTGAGCGGCTCTTTGCTCCAAGCGAGGTGAGTGGATCGGCGTTGAAGGTGGTGGAAGTACTGTGAAGAACACATCATTTTAATTTTGTAATTAGTAATAATGATTTAATAATTTGAAGACATTTGTGGTTACATAACAATGCTATATGAAATACTAAAATGCTAAATGAAGACATTTGTGGTTACATAACAATGCTATATGATGTTAGTAAATGTATTAGTGATCACATATGATCAGGTGAGTATCTTTTTTTTTTTACACACAAAAGAAAACAAAACACTCACCCTGTGGCTCCACCTCCATGGCTGAAGCCAGCAGATCTTCATCTGTTGGCTCTGAGGACAGCAATGTTATTCATAATTCCATTAGAACATCCATAGAATTACACCACTTATAGATCTAAAAACTCACCGTGTGCTGTGGCTGGCTGGGAATGGGAGCTTTGGGTGGGAGGAGGAGAAGCTGAATGCGAAGGATGGGCAGGCTGGGATGCAGAAGATGACTTTTTTTTCCTCTGCTGGTCCCTCAGCAGGATGTATTTTTTCAAGGCATCCATCTTGCTGCCTGTACTGGTGCCCTTGTGCCGGATGAACTCCACATAGCTACATAAGACACAATAGTGTACATGATAAGAGTAAAATAAATACAAAACAGCAAAACAATTAATAAGCAAGCTGAAGCACATATTACCTTTTCCTCTCCCTGTCCTTAGCCTCATAGAGCTCCTTGTAGGTGCTCCTCTTGTGGATCCCAAAGCCCACCAGACAGTCACCCTCACAGCCAGGTAACGAGCCCTCTCTCTGCCTGCGCACTCTGATGGCTTCTGCAACCATCTCAAATGTGCAGGCATATTGGAGAAAGGCATCCTTATTAGCCATGAGGGCACCTCTGTCCAATCTGCCAGCCTCGCGCTCCTGCTGATGCCCAGACAGGACCATGAGGGAGTAGCCAAGGTCATTCTCTAGCATCCATTTGAAGGGTTTCCCTCTGTTTTGAACAAACTGGATGGCACTTTGACTTACCACCAGCACATCATCAAAGGGATTCCCCTCCACCTTGGATGACCCTGACCTTGGTCTCCCCCAGCACAACCTCAGGGTACTTTGGGACAAAGGGCACCCCTTTAGCCACTTGAGAAAGGTGGACTTTCTCCACAGTTGCTGCCCGGTTATACGGCCTAAGCACCAGCTCTCCAGCCTCCACACGCAGGTTGGGTGTGCTTTTCATTCTGGAAAAAAGGCAAAAATTAATAAATGTACAGAAAATTGTGGAGTTTTAAAAAAAACCTTTTGTGTTTAATGTTGTGTTAAATCGAGTAAAACAGCAAGGGAGCGTTATTTCGGGGTAAATCGTGATTTTGACAAGAGTGTATGACGTCCGAGGGCACCGGCGCCCTGGCCTCGGCCAATGGGAGCAACCTCTGAAACAATTCGTCGGCCGGCCAATGAGGTGAGGGGAGCAGAAGCGGGGCGCGGTGAAACAATTTGTCCGTCGGCCAATCGGTGAGCGGGGCGCGGTGAAACAAATTGCAACAATTCACCCGAAGATACGTTTCGCCATAGGTCAATAAACAGGCAGGATATCAGGGCAGGCTGCAAACAAACAGGACACAGGAACCAGGCAGAAGACCAGGGGCCCGTTTCAATAAGGAGGTTCAACCAACTCTGAGTTAAAACTTGAACTCTGAGTTGACTTACCCTGAGATTGGAAACCTTTCGGTTACAGAAGAGCTGAAATGAGTTAGTTCAATCAACTCTAAGTTGACTGACTCTGAGTTAAGTGCGTGCACCACAACTATAAAAAGCCATTATCAATGGAGCGCAGATATTACGAGTCACCATGGCAACAGCGTCAGACAAAAAGAGGTCTGCATATTTCTCCCCAGCAGAACTGGATGTGCTTATGCAAGCATATGCTGAATTTGAACACGTATTTAAAAAAAAAAAAAGCAACACGGCTGCAGCGGCGAAGGACAGAGAGTTAGTTAGGGAGAAAATAGCTGCTCGAGTCAATGCGTAAGTTTACATTTTAATTACTGTTATACAGTGTTGGGTGTAATGAATTACTAAGTAATCTAAATACTGTAATTAAATTAAAGACTATAAAACAATTCTGTATAAAACAATAGTGGATTTAATATATCACATTTTAAAAGGTATATTTTTAATGTAACCTTCTCCCTCTAGTTACACACTTTGGTCAATTCAAGAATAATTCATGCAATTGTATATTGTTTATTTGAAAGCATTGGAAGTGCAGTTTCTTGTCTCTCCTTGTTGTTCAAGTGGTTGAGGTTAATTTGGGATTTAGAAAGTAATTAATAAGTAAGTAGACCAGTGGTTCTCAACCCTGTCCTGGCGTACCCCCAACACTACACATTTTCCTTGTCTCCCTAATCAAACACACCTGATTCAACTCATCAGCTTATTAACCCATGTGATAATGAGCTGATGAGTTGAATCAGGTGTGTTTGATTAGGAAGACAAGGAAAATGTGTAGTGTTGGGGGTACGCCAGGACAGGGTTGAGAACCACTGAAGTAGACCAAATTAGTAAGTAGACCAGTACTTTCTAGAGATAGTAATTATTACATTAATCTAATTAGACTTGTTGAAGATGTAATTTGTAGTTAGTAATTAATAACTATTTTAGAGTAACTTACCCAACTGTTATAATATCAGAGGTGAAACTGGAAGAACAGTATTGTTCGTGGCAGCAGCTGAAAAAGGTGACGATGAGGATGAAGAAACAGTTTCTGCTGCCACAGAGAGGCCTACCGAGGTAATGTTAATATTATATCTTTACACATCAAACAATCTACACATTCACATTTATATGTGGAGTAGCCTACAGAATCTAAGTTTATATCTATAAATGATAATTCTTATCTCTACCCCCCAGCAGGAGGAAGGTCCATCTTCTGTTGCACAGATGAACACAGTTCAGTGATTTACAGTAAATGTCAGTTTAATTCTGAATTTTAGAACTACATGATGTAACTCTAATCTGCTGTATTTTCAGTTGCCAGTTAAGGAGTTATATAGATGACTTCTTATTAAAAAGATATAAAAAAAAAAAAACAGCAAAGAACTTGTATACTTGGACCGCCAAGATCTAAAAGGCAGATCTGGAAGTCGAGATTTTGAAACTAAAGCTAGAGGTGAGTGTATGGTAACAGGTGAATTCTAGGAAGTATTGAAACTATTTTAAAATCTTTTTTTTTTTTTTTAAGGAAATGAAGATTACCATATAAATTGCTGTGATTTTGTTTATTATTTCTGTTATTTTGTGGTTGCATTTGTAGGAAATAAAGAACACCATATAAATTGCTGTGATTTTGTGTTTATTCTTTTTTTTTTTTTTTTTTTTTTTTTGTGGTGGTGGATATCATGATTAATCTGAAAAGACATTGTGGCATATCATATCCCGGACTACCCTTCCATCCTGGAAATCTGCAGGGTTGATGGGGTCTTCCTCAGGGTCTTGCATTTGTAGGGCCACTTGGCCTCCACATTTGTGATGATATGTGCAGCATCACATATGTTCTTGACAGTGCAAATAATGAGAGATGTTACAGTATTGTGATGTAGTCTTTGACCATTAGAAACAGTAGGGTGTCAGTGTACCTGCACATTAATACTGTGGATGGATCTCCTGTTGACATAGTCCGCTTCATTTTCAGAAGGTGCAATGATCGGATTATGTGTGCCATCAATGCATCCAACCACATTGGGAAATCCTAAAGGGAATTGTAATTATTAGGTTACTTCCAGGGGTCACAGCAAGATGTTCTTAACTGATCATCATTTATCAGGTTAGCCTCATTTAAACCGATTTCTACACCACTGACCTGCAATCCTGTGAAACTCCTCTTTGATGACTCTCACTGGTTTGTGCCCAGGAAACAATACAAAAATTCTCAGAAAGAGCTTAAAAGCGAGGCACACTTTCCCTACCGCTCTGCATACAGCAGCCTTACTGATATATTCTGCATCCCCAATGTTATAAAGAAAACTTCCATTTGCAAAGAAACGTAAGCCAACGCAAAGCATCTGCTCGGATGTAAGAGCACGGCCACGATGGCTGATGTTACTGATGTAAGGATGGATGAGATTATGGAGGTATCTAATTGACTGTAAAGAAAAACGGTACCGCTCAAATAAAAATGTATAGGGTTAACATACTCAGAGTTTCCACTTAACCTCCTTTCTGAAACAGGCCCCAGGAACAGACAAGGTCACAACATGCAGGTAAACGCATGGAAAAACGCTTGGAAATGTTTGCAGCAGCAAAACAAGACTTAGCCCAGGGTGTAGTGTGAGTGTGGCTTAAATGAGTGTTTGAACATGAGGTGCAGGTGTGTGTGTAATCAGCGCAGTGCAGGTGTATAGTGTAATCAGTCCAGGGAGATGCATGATGGGAAATGGAGTCCGTAATCACCCAGGGAGTGCGTGGCTAATTGTGAGAGTAATATAGGTTGTTAGAGTCAAAAGTAATCAACACAGTGGTTTAACTGTAAGGGATCTAAACGCGGTAATGTTGCAGTCTTTCCCGGTTGATCTTTTCAGGTAAGACCATTTAAATGATAAGAACCTGTATTGTCTTCCGGTTCTGTTGTCAATCCGCGTTCACGAGTCCGCAGTGACGCTTATGATGTAAGACGCTGCTGACGTGTTATCTGGTGCGTCCGTATATTCGGGTTCAAATAAATATGGCTGGGCCAAAAAATGCAAGTCTTCCTCTGTGTCGAAATCCTTAGACATGTTTGCAAAGATTGTTTTGTTTACAGCGTGCGTCTCCCTTAGACTGTAAACGAAGCTCGGGCGCACCAGATAACATGTCAGCAGCGTCACTGAACGCGGATTGACAACAGAACCGGAAGACAATACAATGCTGAATAAAGTCGTAGTTTTTGTTATTTTTGGACCAAAATGTATTTTCGATGCTTCAAAACATTCTAACTAACTCACTGATGTCACATGGACAACTTTGATGATGTCTTTATTTCCTTTCTGGACAAGGACAGTATACCGTACATACAATTTCAATGGAGGGACAGAAAGCTCTCAGACTAAATCTAAAATATCTTAAACTGTGTTCCGAAGATGAACGGAGGTCTCACGGGCTTGGGATGACATGATGAGGGTGAGTCATTAATGACATAATTTTCATTTTTGGGTGAACTACCCCTTTAAGACTTGAAGGGTAAGACTTGAGACTTACTTGTGACTTGCACATGTGTGACTTACTCCAACCTCTGCTAGGCCTAGACTACGGTGTTGTCAGTGAACAGGCTGTAAAACTGTTGGCTAAGTTACAGACACTCATGAAAAACTGATGCTAATTATCTGGGAAATATTCTCTAACAGGAGTCAAGTTGTCATTGTTTGTGTCAAACAAGTTGTGAATTTTTTGTAACATTAAAACAGGAGATCATGACTTATCTTGAATCTTATCCAGATACAATAGTGCTATTTTCTGATTGGCTATTGTGTAGCCCCTTTCTTTTTTTTGATTGGCTGATAAGTGGCAGGCTCGACTGCAGAACTCCAGGGGCTTGATTCCTGCCGGTTCCATAGCGAGAGCGTTTAAAAGTATAGCCTTGGTTGTGCCATTGTCCCTTTCCTCATCAGATCAGATGCTCAGAACGACAGTGTGTCCACCTGGGGATACTCTTATCCCTCTTAACTCATTTGCATTGTCCCAAGTACACAGTTAAAACAAAAATTGTTTTTAGAACTTTAGAAATGCATTATTTTATTTCCAGATATCTTTAAAAATCTGTAGGGCAGTGTCCTGAACCTGTACTGTCCGTCCAAACCTTTTTAATCTAGTCACACTCAGAACTCTACAATTTCTATCATGAATGGGTTTTCCAATGACTTTTCAGCTCTCTTCGGTATGTAAAACTCACGTCACACTGAAGACACGCAAAAGGTTTCTCTCCACTGTGAAGTCTTATGTGAGCTCTTCCCGCAGACTTTGCAGGT